GATTACTTGATCTATTGATGGCTCTTAAGCACAGGATTCCCTAGATTCCTAGGATTCCCATGGGATTCCCGGGATTCTCAGGGAATTCCCAAGATTCCCAGGATTCCCATGGTATTCCCAAGATTCCCAAGATTCCCAAGATTCCCAAGACTCCCAAGATTCCCAGGATTCCCATGGGATTCCCATGGGATTCGGAATCCCGGGAATCCGCCGTTTCCCCCTTGGTCTATCTACTAGGGTCTACCAGAGTCTACTAAAGTCTTGATGTGGGTGCCGCGAAACAACTTACATCACATCTCTCTTGTTGTGGGTGCCGCGAAACGACTTACATCACGTCTCTCTCGTTGTGGGTGCCGCGAAACTCTGGTAGACCCTGGGAGACCCTAGTAGATCCTAGTAGATCCTGGTAGATCCTGATAGATCCTGGTAGACCCTAGTAGATCCTGGTAGATCCTGATATATCCTGATATATCCTGGTAGACAGTGATAGAAAGTGAATTACTTTGTAATTAAAAAAAAATGAATTACAAAATAATTCACTTTCTATCAGTTTCTAGGTAGATCCTGATAGATCCTGATAGATCGTGGTAGAAACTGATAGAAAGTGAATTATTTTGTAATTCATTTTTTTGAATTACAAAGTAATTCACTTTCTAACAGTTTCTACCAGGATCTACCAGGATCTATCAGGATCTATCAGGATCTACCAGGATCTACTTAGAAACTGATAGAAAGTGAATTATTTTGTAATTCATTTTTTTTTGAATTACAAAGTAATTCACTTTCTATCAGTTTTTACCAGGATCTATCAGGATCTATCAGGATCTACCAGGATCTACCTAGAAACTGATAGAAAGTGAATTATTTTGTAATTCATTTTTTTGAATTATTTTGAATTACTTTGTAATTCAAAAGCGTCATGGTCTCCGAAAATCTGCAAGCAGTAATCTGTGTAAATGAAGAAATAAACAAACACATAGATCAACACAGAACAATGTGAAAAACAACCTATCTACATGCACTTTTCTATTGGATTTAACCTCCCATTATACTTAGTTTTATTTTAAAAATCGATCGAAATCATTTCAAAACTGATCAAGTGATTTCTAAATGATTCTCTATCTTATATCGAGTACCTATGAATAGAAAGAAAGAGTGTTAAACTAAAAATCATATTCAATTCTTTTTCTTTTCATTTCACTTGTTTGTTTTTTTAATATAAGATCTCGAGATATTTCTCCATCATCTTCATCTTTTGCTAACCATCTATTACATATTCCAATGTATTTTGTTGATGAATTTTTCAAATCTGTCACAACAATCTAATAAAAGTAAATACAGATATTTTTATTTTAGTGAAAAAAAAGAACAATGAAATAAATAAAAATACTCGATCAAGAAACCATCCAGGGCCTCGACCTGTATTATCATGTTCAATTCGAAGTTTAGTTAGTTCTTCAATATAATCACTTTCAACATGAAATGTATCTACTTGGTTTTTTTCAAATGGATCTTTATTATTTGAATTTTTCAATTGAATTTTTTGTGTTTGTTTTCCATCATTTCCAAATAATGTTATATATACTTTACTGTCTGTACCAGCACCACTTTTATCACCAGTATACACAGCTATTTCATATGAAGTCACTAAATAATCAATCAGAGGACTGTTTGAAACACAGAATTTATTTTAGCGTTTGAAAATAAGTTATTATAATTTGATTGATTCTTTGATGTAGTATCAATAATTTTACCTTTATCGTTATGTGAACAGCTATTAATACCGATGAAACAGAGGTAGGATATATTTGATCACTTTTGACCTTTTCCTGAATTGATTCGCAAGTGAACGCATTGAAACATTGATCAATAGCACTTAATGTAGAATTCAATAAGTTGTCTCAGATCCATATTATATTTCCTTCAGACAATCACTGCGTTCACAAAAACGCTAGATGCTGAGAAAAGATAGCGAGAAAAACGCAGAAATTCAAGAAATGCTGTCGTGATTCGTACAGGTGTTCCTTTCAACTGTGAGTTGCATCCGTCCAAGTGGATCTCGGCATACATTACTGAATGCTCAGGCTATTAATCCAGTGCCACTCTAGCGCTTCTAGAAAATTGAATTAAAGTTTGAATATGCGTGTTATTTCGGATTACTATCACACTTTTTTTACACGGCAAAATGTTAATTGCTTGAAGTAGAAGAAAGAAGATTTCATGCATGAGGAAACATACGAGTTAAATTCATTTGCAATAGTCTTGAGATAATTTCCGATTTTCAGACCGGATGTTGAAAAACATCTCGATGAAAAATTTTGTTAGTCCTTGTTTCAATTAGTTTCAGATGAGAGAGAAAGAGAGGGCACACTCATTTGGTTGGCGAAACATTGCTTTTATTTGTACTATGCATATGTGGAGGATCGAAGAACGAATTAGTTGATCTATATCATTGTACAAGAGAGAGAGAGAAAAGTAAAAATATGAAAAAAATTGTTTAGAGCCTTTTCACTCACGCCTTTGCCGTACTTATATAAGAGAGACTAATAATCGGATGTAGAGGTTTTTCATTTTATTCATTCGACACATATACGCAGAAACCATTCGTCAATGCGAAAGAATGTATTACTTTTCTTTTTCGTTCATGTTCATATATGTATACATATCATTCACTTACGACAACAGCATGAGGGAAATAGCTCTAAACAATTTTTTTTCATATTTCTCTTTCTCTCCGATCCTCTGCATATGCACGGTACAGACAAAAGAGATGTTTTCAGCAACCGAATGAATGGATCTCTCTTCCTCTATCGTTCGAATCGAATAAAAACAAAAACTAATAACATTCTTTGTCGAAACTGAAAGGGATAAATTATTTCAAGGCTTCTTTAAATGAATATCGGTCATATGTTGCCTCATCTATGAGCGTTGATAATTTTAGTTTAGAAAAAAATGTTATTGAAATCAAAAAATTATGAAAGAAACCTGAAATTTTTGATTTTCCGTACATTTTCTCGGTGACAAGATGGTGATGATGGGTTGATGAGACCTGACTTTAGCAGAACTTGTCGAGATCTATCTGAAGACATGAAACTCACAGTTGGAATATACAGGCCATTCAGTTTATTTTGAAACAAAATAGAAAAGTTTTTATTCTTTTATTTTCATACATTTATTGTAATAGATGTTCGATATGTGATCCATGACCATAGTAAATTAATC